ATGTCCACCATTTACTTGGATGGATGACCCATTCATCCGACAGTTAGTCGGGGTCGGGAAACCTCTGTCCATTGCTAAGAGTTAGCTTGTACAGTTGCCATGAATAGAGAAATGAGATAATGAGACTAATTCTGTTTTTGTACCAGGCTGTACACAAGTTTATTGTACTGTTAAATTGGACATTTTATCATGGCGCTCTACAGGGATTGACTCATTACAGGAGACAGCCTCAAGTGAATACTAGAGGAACTGCAGGTTTTGCCATTTCCAGCTCAGTACATGTTTAATTTTTTATCCCTGGATGTTGGTTCCCTCTCCACCTTGCCTCACACTCTCTCCGTGTGCTGTGCTGCAGAGAAAAGGCCCTCTCAGGCTGTGCTGCAGGAATAGGGGCAGCTCTCCTGGAGGTGCCACACTCGCCACAATCCAGCTTCAGACCCGAGCCAGCGACAGAAGCACTCTTGTTACACTGTGATGCTTTTTATATCATGTGTGCCAGTGGGCCATTTCTCTCCGCTACATGGCAAGAAGAGAGGTCTTTTAGTCAGCCATGGTTGGGAGCAACTCAAACCACTTTTACACACACTGAATCTGAGTTAAATATAAACTTAAATTCCTCTTTCACGCTTGCCAGGTCTGACTGCTGCATCCTCACTGGTGACATACTGACTGAGTGCAATGTTCAGTCTCTCAGTTTAAAGCACTTGGGTACATGTGTTGTCAATCTGCTGATGGGCTTCTTCTCATAAAGGAGAGCTTTTCCACAGCAATTATGCAGGAATCTCTAACAAAGTCCAGCAGAGCAGAACGGGGTTAGCCTGCTGCTGACACTTTTTGTCTGCCAAACAACAAACCAACTGCATCAATAATGTCAGCTGTACTTCTTGATTATGTTACATATTGTGTTGCATTTGGTGTGTTGATTGATTATGTTACATATTGTGTTACATTCTGTTGATCTCCAAAATGTAAACTGAGGAAAAACTGGCTTTTTTTTATTTTTTAACATGATGACGACTTGTTCCTGAGTTTATCCAAAGTGTTTAATAAGAACGAAGGTGGAGGAGTTAGTCAGCCCACAGAGGAGAATGTAATCCATCCAACTTGTGTTAAAATGTCACCAATATAAGTCATCTCTTGCCAACAGGAACTAGTCTTTGATTTTCCTACAAAGATTTGGACACTAAGATGAAGAAAACATCAGGCAAGTGGTGAGTGAGAGTAAACAGAGCGAGTGGATGAGGAGTACAGTGTGTGATGATGAAGGGCACACACCCAGCTCGCTGACAGAGTTGCAACACGATGTAATGCCTTAGCCTCCCAGTGAGGGCGCCGTGCCAGCTCCGCCGCTGCCAAACACGACCACAACACGGCCGCTGTGTGCCTCAGCAGCCGGCCCTCTAACATTACAACCACGCATGGCTGAGCCCAGACCTGCCAGCTGCTCTCTGCACCGTAAATCTCTGTGTGGTGCTGTTTTCTTTTACAGCTGACCTCAGACCAGCTGGACTGTCAGCGTCAATAAAAGAGTCTGCTTTACAGGACACGGAGGGGAAACATGCATGCCACTTTAATGATAACATCAGTCCAGTGATTGCCCTCAATGATTACCTCTTAACTTGTTAAGTTTGCAGAGTGAGGACCAGTCGCACACTGCAAACAGCTCCTCCCTGACGTTCTTCTTCTTTTTACATTAAGTCTCATCCTTTTCTTAAATCTCTTGCAACTTTTAAAGTCAAACAAGATGGAAAAAACATCCATCCAATGTGAACAGAACAGTAAACGGTATCTATGTTGTTTACAAAGAATAAGAAGTAAATCATCAGTCTATTTATAAACAGGCATATAACCAATGACAAAATCATGGATTCTTTTTTGTCCTTTTTAAAGAATTGCACAAAGCATGAAAGTAATGAACACCTGATGTTGCTACATGAAGCCTCCACGGCTGCAGAAGCAGCAGCTTGAAAGCTGTATTAAGACAGTCAATAAGAACTTTTGAATAAACATATCATTGAAACCAAACATGTAACTTTTCACATTTTTGGCACCATTAGCTCTGTTCATTGTTTTGTTTTTTTGTGGATAACTGGCAGCAGTTTTCTGTCCTTATAAAGATTTTACTGCAGCTGTTCTGTCAGTTATCATCTTTCTAGTGTAGATGACGTGAAGTTGACCCACTTTAGGTTCCATGTTTACAAACATGATCATATTCAAAACTGAACCAAAATGTAGACTGATGTTCAAAAGCAAAATGGCTCATAAAAATGTCTGTAATATCCAGGTTAAACTGAATAAACAAGAAGTCGGTATGTCAGTGTAAACGCATTAATGTCCAAAAAAAGAGTAATGTCCAAAATTAAAGCAACTTTTAAAAAATTGCTTTACAAAACTGCATGCTTGTACAGAAACTGCAGTGTCTTCCTGCAATCACAATCACAACATACTTTGAACATCTCATTTAACTTAAAAAAAACTCCTAGACAGCTTAGTGGACAAGTCAAAAGTAATACCCACATTGTGACATCAAACATTACACTTTTTTACCATTCCTTTTAGCTGTTTTCATTTACTTTTTGATCCATAGCAAGTTTTTTTTTTTCATGGACATTAATGTTGTAACTTTCATTCTACCTGAAGTTCCTTACCTTCTATCAAAATAAAGGCAGGTTTGTATCCAAACAGAAAGTACAACTCCATAGCATAAAACAGTACAAAAATACAAAATAAAAGCATACTGATCTGTTTTCAAATGGAAAATAACAGAATTTCGCAATGTTTAAACAAAATAAACTCATACCCTTAATGAAAAGTAAAACCGTTTTTTTTGTCACATAATCAACTTTGCAAGAATTTAAAAAGTTCTGCCATGATTGAGCATGAATGTTCTTCTTGGAGAGAAAATGTTTGACTGTGTTTTGAAGGATTTGATTTTGAGTCCGGTTTGTCTGGTTTTGATTTGAGCAAACAATCAACTAGTTGGCGCGTAGCGTGTGTTATTGTTAGGAGTGTATTCAAAGTAATATCACAGCAGAGGAGTTTTCATCTGGTTATGAAACAAAAATAATACTGATCCCTTTTGATCTGCAGAACTGAAGAGAAAAACAACAGGATATATATATTTTAGTGGGTCTGACTATAAATTGGGTCAGTTTCTGATAAAACAGTTTAAAGTATGAGCTGGAAGAGACTTTGTTTGCACTTTCCAGGCAGAGTTTCACAGTGACGTGCATGTAAGATGGTTAAAAAAAAGAGTGGGAGGATATATTTCTGGAGAATACGTGTGCAGATAATCGAAGGGTTAAGACATAACACTCAGCCACAGAGGAAACAATAACCAATACAAAACGTTCCTCTATCTTTAAAAACTGAATTGGAACATTTATTCTCGTTGTCATTTCAAACGCTGCATGCTGTATATTTCACTCTCATTATTTTTATGCTGTTGGTCATTTGTGCAACATATATATAGAGCTATATTCAAATTCCTTGTATGTGAACTCATTGTTGGTTAAATAAAGCAGATTCTGACAGAAGTGAGCAGATCAAATGTGTCATTCAGAGATTTTTCTCCTCGTTTGAAACTCTGAGAAAATTCTACGTTACGTTTAGAATCACAAACCGCAATGAGGGGACTTTTCTACTCTGGTGTCTGTGAGTGAGTGAATCTACACACGTCTGACCAAATCTCATTGTGTTTGTGTCTCACACTCGTATTTCATGTGTTATTTTTGACAGAAGGAGCTGAAGCCACAGTGAGGTTTCTGTGAACAGCAGAAGAAATGAGAACTGAAGTGTTTGCTGCTGCTTCTGCATAAAGAAGAACTATTTTACGATAAATGTCGGTGGAGGATGCACATTTACTAAGAAAATCTGTCAAATTATTGTATAAATCTTCTTCTTTACAAGTTCAATCATTATAATTTAATCTTCAAAAGAAAACATGTATAAATATTACCCAAATGTCTTTATAGGTTTCATTATAGTTGTTTTTTTTATTATCATAGTTCTTGTTGTAGCTGGTCCCTCTGAAAAGTAAAAATGCTCCGCAGCAGATTTTAAATAAAGTAACATTTGGGTTCTGAAGTACCTGAATGAATTGTAATATTGCACATTGTGAAAGACGGCATCAAATCAAAAGGTATTTTCTAATCAAAGTATGATCATACCAAAGAAGGGTGTATTACTATTATTTGTGTACTTATTCTACATTCAATCATCCAACCATAGTTATGTGTTTCAGTAAAAGATGAAAAAGTGACTGAAGTTTATTTGATTGATATACATGTATGTATTTATTAGGGCTGCCAAATGCTTACCTTTGTAATGGCTTTAATTATGAATGTGAATTGAATTGTACAGTTGTAAACTCAGAGTACCTTGTAAGCTGTTTAAATTCAACCCTACTTTTATCTACTTTTATTTTGAAATAAACTAAGGACTTTCTGGTAGATCCAAGGTTCCATCATTAACATAATCACTGAAAAGGGAACTTGTTACTGGTTAAAAAAACTACAGTCAAACAACTCAAAGGAACGTTAAAAGGGGAAATGTTTGACGCCATAAGGTAGATATACACTGCTGAGGATTATCCACCGTGTGCCTGAAGGAACACAATGACAATAAAAAAAATCAATGCATGTATTTCAGACCTTACTTAACGTGATTAACTAGTTAATGTGGACAGCAATAGTATTTAAACATGTTCATTTATGACCCCTTCTTTCTGTACCTTAGTAATAAATTGATTTCTTGCAGCGAGCTTTATTAAATATGATCTCAGGCTCATTATTTGAGTAAATGTAGTCTATAATTGTCCCATCCACCACTTATTGTAATCACTGCATGCATTTTTTTTTTATATCTCCTGAGGTAAACCAGACTGTGGGGTAAACAAAGGGATCACTTCCAGAACCTAAGAACCATAAAGACATTAGATTCATCACACACATGAAATCATCGTGTTCAGAGTTCAAATCCACAGACAAGAAAAAACAAAGTTGTGTTCATAATGAGCTTTTTATTTAAAAGCACATGTATTAGAGCTAAGCACATTTAGCAAAAAAAACAGCATTGCAACTATGTCTTTTGTACAAAAAAAACCGAGACAATACAAAAATACTAATATTGAATTTTATTACAAGTGTAGGTGTATTTTTTTTTTTTGAACGCATATTAAAAACGTAGCTATAACAATCTACCATCGTTTAGTTTTCTAGATACAAAAATCTGTCAATGGATGCTTTTAAAGCAGCATTTTGTAAAGAACACAGGTCTGTAATCATAGTGGATATATCTAAACATGTTAAAACAATATCTTACAGAGTTAACTTTAGTGATCTATACATATTTATATATTTATAAAAAGAGAGTGAAAAACGTCTGAGTGAAATGATAGGACGGACTATACGATGAGAAAGATGTGCAACATGGCCGAGTGTGATGATGGAGGAGAAAGTCTGAGCCTGAATGACTGTAGGTCATACAGGACAGGTTTATACACACAGAGTTAAAGAGAGATCCACAGTTTCTAGAATGTCCACCTGCTCCCTGACACACACACACACACACACACACACACACACACACACACACACACACACACACACACACACGCACACACACACACACACACGCACACACACGCACACACACGCACACACACTTGGCACAGCTGACAGTGACACAGTTTATCAAGAGGGAGGTTCCTTTTTTCACAGGGCACAGCGCTCATACATATGTACACACATTCACACACACAAGATGTACATGCACAAGCACAGTCATGGACACACACACACACATGCACACACTGAGATCCAAATATCCATCGCCAATGAGTGATTAGGTGGGTGTGAGCCCCTCCCTGCCAGCAGAAAGAGCCCAATTCATCCCAAAATAATGTGCCAGCTTAGCTGTAAATCATCACCCTCTTTCCTCGGTGACAGACTACATCCCCTCACTTTCCCCCCGCTGTCAGCCAATCAGACTGATCCATATACCATGGAGCGGCATGGCACAGCCACGTCTCTCACACAGGTGCTGGGGGCCGGGGGCTGTGAGATCTGTCCCCTCCCTCCACAGATAAAAATCCCCCCTTTACTACTTCTAACCATCAAGAAATGCAACATCCCGGGTTTGGGCCGCGCTGAGGGTCTTCTGCAGAAAACTGGACGTGCTGAAGTGGAGACAGAGGAGCGTGTGGATGGATAGCTTCACTCCCAGCAGCTAAATAAAAGTTTGTTGGGATTTGAAGATGTTAGCCAGAAGCCAAATGACTTCTCTGAAAAGGTGTTACTTACAAAGGGCATGATCCTCAAGGTGTGTTCAGACTGAAAGCAAAGTGAATTTGTCCTCAGAGTATGATTGCATACAAAGTCAATGCAAAGATACATTTCTCTCAGGCCAGGGAAAATATTGGGGACATCCTGAAGTTACATGTCATATTTACAATCCAAACTCTATTCAGAAAACAAGCTTTTTTAAGGGGGTTGCTTGTCATCTTGCTGGCAGAGCTGATGAATCATGCCTTTTTACTTTTAACAAATCAGTATTCTAATGTAGTTATTAAAGCATCTTTTCAGCCGGTTAATTAGGTTAATTAAGCTAAAAGGTCATTAAACTGGGACCTGAACGGTCTTAAGGAGCTGGAAGCAGCAGGAAAGTTCCTCCAGACACAGTTCATGTTGGAGGAGGGAGATTAACAGAGGTGTGTGCACCTCAGCCTGTTTGTGTTTTTAATATCTAGAAAACCTAATATTTGCAGGATAGCTGTAACAGATGCAAATAAACCAATGATCATTGTGCAAGTCATGCAAAGAATACATTTTGCTTCGCTTCCTGTCTGAACACACGTTTTCAGTGGGATGCTGCTGCAGGATTGTTGTTAATGAAGCCATGCTACGCTAACTGTCTCATGTCAGCATCGTCAAGCTTTCTTGCAGTGAGACGTCTCAGGCAGCGAGTGGTGATAATAATGGACAATGAACTTAAAAACAGTGCTATAAGTTATATTTTCTATACTGTTAATATTTCTATGCTGCTCGTTACTGCAGTAATCTCCTTCCCGTAGCTAAGGAAGTTGTTGTCGGCGTTCCAAGGCCACAGAGAGTTCAGAGAGGACCGTCCCTCTCTCCCAGGGTGGGGGGCTTTGTCTTTTTATTTCTCTTTTTGTCTCTTCTTTTCTTCCTCTTCTTCTTCATATGGTTCACCAAACCTCCTCACCCTCAGCTCTGCCTGTCACATCATTAATTTGTCTTTTTAGCTTCCAATTCTGTCTGTTTGTGCTCAAAACGATGGGCTCAAATGTAGATTAGTAGTTAAAACATAGTAGTAAAAAATACGTCTGGATAGTGAGAGTGGACTCTGCTGTGCAAATCTCAAAGCCGACACCCTCTCTAGGGGGGAGGGGGGGGGAGGATGGCGTTTGAGAAGCAGCCTCAGTCTCTCGTCGCTACATTCTACTGTCTGATGGGAGGTGAGCAGCGCTGTGATTGGCTCCTCGGTCACAGGAAGAAGTGGTGGTCTCTCTCTCTTTGTCTCACACCATGTTGTGGTGATTGTTCCTGTCGATGATTTCTGATGACGGGAGCAGCTCCTTCTTGATGGGGGAGGGCGGGGGTGTGGCTGGCTTCGCCCGGGGCTTGAACAGGTCGGACACATAGAACACCTGGGGAAGACACAACAATTTAAAGTACAAGGTTAAGAGAGTAAAAAAAAAAAAAAAAATGTTGTGTTGCCCTGTTTTCAAAGAAAAAATGTATCAGCCCTCATGTATTAAGGATGCCTTTGTTTTGACATTGGGAGTAACAGTTACAGTAACAGTCCTAAATGACCTTTAAATACATCACATATAATTATTATAATCTCCTTTAAAGTCTGTGTCCTGAATGTCTTCACCTTGTGTTGATGTTGCACCAGAGAGACTTTCATTCTAAAGAATTGGTTAAATGACAATAAACAGAACTGGCAATAAGGTAAAAGAACAAGAGACTAGTGACATAAGAGTGGAATAAAATGCTTCCTAACAATATGAAAGAACATACAACAACCCTTGCATTTGCCAACTGAGAAACTGAAAACGACTAAAGTCTGTTTAAGAGTAACCAAATGTTTTAGCTTAATGACAAAGATTAAAAACACATTTCAGAAGAATCAAATGAGGTGTGACACAGTACCTAGTTTGGATAAAACCTGTAATGTAATCTTAATGTGCATGCACATAGGTTTACTGGGCCTCTTTTCAACAACATTTATAGGATTCTAAAAACATTTTTTTAATTATAAATTAAATCTGAAACCATTCCTATAAGATAGAATCAATCAAAGGCATGTCACATTGTCAAGAAGTACTAAAAGCTTGATTTGTTTAATACAGGTCTAAAGGCCAACTGTATGTCAGCTCTATCATTAAAGTCAAAGTCCTACAAGAACCAAACACTGTATGTGATTTAAAGTGTACTTCTGAAAATAAATGAGATTTTGAAAAGAATACAGTAGGATTTTATTGGAGTGAAATTAAGGAGAAAATCCTTTATAACACCTTTTCAGATTGGATTTTAAAGAAAAGATGTGAATCTTTTTTTATTTTTTTTAGTTGAGGTAGCTGTGAGCTGGCGAGATGTGTAAAAGTGAATATTACATCTCTTTATGACGCCATGATGAGAAACTCCCTATCACCTCAGTCTGCCACACTCTGTGCTCTCGTCAGCCCTGAGTAACCGAGCTGGACGGAGGGATGTTAGATCACATTAAATGAACGCTTGGTAATCCTCCGTTGAACGCTGCCAGGTCTGAACTGTGCTTTTACATCATCTCTGAGCTCAGCTGGGCAGAGAGCGGCGAGGGAAAGAGACAAAGAAAAAAATCTCTTCCTGAGATCTTGATGACATCATATGTCAAACAGGAAATTGGGCAGAAAGTGGGACCATGGAAACTGCTGCCCACTATATGAGTGGATTAGCGCTTCCACCTACAAGGGTCTGGGGTCATTCATGAGCAACAACACACACAAACGAACACAAACACACACACATCATTGGCAGGCGCTGCAGCTTTTCCTTCCTGTGCTGCCAGTCGAGGGTGAGCAGAGGGGGGCGTGGCACAGAGACGGGAGTCAGGGGCATTAAACTCTGAGACCCAGCTCAAAGAAACATAACGGATGACTCAGATTAAAGACAATATAAGATGCTCTCATACAGGAAGGTCCTGAGTGGAAAAAAAACATTAAACTAATGGACCTGCTCAGTTCTCTTCTTCTGTTGTTTTTCAGAAAAATGTCTCTCCTACACTCGGTGATGTATTTCTATAACACAGAGCGTCTCATTGTGAGTGGTGGGCTCAACACAAAGACCCTCTCTTCTAATAAAGTATGACATTTACTGACTATGAAGTGACCGTCTCTGCTGAACTTTGACTGTATGATGACATCAGAGCGAGATAGAAACCTACACAACCACACAGCTGCTCGCCCGGTCTAAAAAGAGCTCTTTGTGTGTGCAGCCATTAGTTTGTACATCATCACATGGTGCATTATACATTGGACTGGTATATACTATACTGTAAGGTGTATTGTTTGATTTTTACTGACATCATATCTAAGTTTAAAATTCTAGTTTCGTAATAACCCTACTTTACTCTATAGACTGTGTGAAATAATTAGGGGCCATGATGAAGAGTTTTATCTCGGGGAATCACCCGAGCCGTCATGAGAAACATCAAGGCTCGTTTCCCCTCAGGATGCTGCCTCGTCCAATCCCAACAAGACTCAACGCCGCGTCACCCAACCTCCAACCTATCACCCCTGAACTTGCTGTACTGGACGGCTTATCACGATCTCACCATTTCCTTTTTGTGATGCACAGAAACACAAAGAAGCCCAGTCGTTTGTGTGGCGTGAAGCTGACTCAGCAACAGAACCTTTAAAGGCATATCAATGTGTGTGTGCGTGTGTCTATAATTGTGTGTCTTTAAGCAGTATTAAAATGTCAAGTGTGACACATAATGAAGCTGAGTCACAAAGGAAAGGATGCATTGACTCGCAGGAAGTATGCGTGTCTAAATAAACCCACACACTACAGACTAAGCCCCCTCTGTGTCGCAGAATAGAACAGTGAATTTGTTTGCACGCATATGAAACCTGGTATAAATGCATTTGCAGCCTGACCACACAATACACCGCTTCATGCAGTTACACAAATGTAGATCAGAGGATGTGACATAGTTTGAGACCATTTTGTGACTATATATGTACATGAAGTTTGAAAATAATTTTGGAAAGGTTATCTAGTGGCGCTGCACACTTGATTGATGCGTTTGGAGTGATAAAAGTTGACTCCTCGGGCCACACAGAGAGCATGCTTCAGTATTAAGGCTCTGAGTGTGTGCAGAATGTCCCTGTGTGGGAGCAAAGGAGCAATAGCATCCTCAAACCCCTCCTCCTACAACTCCTGACCCGACTCTTCTCCTCTGTGACAATGAACCTCGAAAAAACCAACGCTCCCCCAGCTGCTTCCTGCTGGGGTCGCCCCTCTAACCTTTGTTAAGACACATGTGGAAAACTGGGTCAGTTTGTCTAATAGGAAACGCAAGGTAAGATATAGACAGACCACTTCCTGTTGGGGGTCCAAGTCTGGAGTCTTGAGTTTGACTCGAAAGAGGGAATCATTTACATATTATTCAGTAGATTTTCATCAAAGTAAAGACTAACTGAAAAGAGAACAGCAAAGCTTCAGTCTGATATGTCCCTGTGTGTACTCCAGGTTTGTTTTGTTCATTTACAGTCACCACTTAGATTTAAGAGGTAACTGTACTCAGAGAAACCAGGGAGAGCATTCTGTACTTTTCAAACTTTTCTGCAGACAATTACTGAAACATAATTGAAGAGGCCTTTCCACAATGTTGTAAATCTTAAAATTGAGTGCAAATGTTCCCAATCACACACTGGGGACTGAAGTGCAAATCCACTCGTGTTCTTTGGTTTTAATCAGAATTTGATGTTCAAGATAGATGGACAGATTACTTTATTCATCCCCAGGGGGACGTTGTGTTGTTGTAGCAGCAATAACTAGAAATGACATAAATGGACAGCTGAGGGGGAAATAGCTCACAAACAGTTCTTATATCACAAAGCTGCCACTTTACTTGGAAAATTCTTAATAAACTCAAAACATTGCTGCTGTTACTGTGTTCTCTCAACGACAAATCTAAGCCGAATAAAATATGAACTGCATCAAATACAGCCAAGCAAAGACATTTAAAAGACTCTTTGACTGTGACATAAATTCTCTCTGACATTTATGCCAAGTGTGAACTCAATCTTTTGTTCTTACATTTCAAACTTCACATCTTAAGAACAAAGACAGAGCCCGAGCACTTGTTAACTTCAGATCTAAAGATGTTCACACTTTGATTTAGAGCTCACTGCTGGTTTCTGTGACGCTCACAGTCCTCATACCTCCACTTGCCTCCTGTCACGTCCGCTCTGCTCTGCTGCGCAAACAGCCCCGCTAAAGTACTCACAGATGTTTCAATAAGACCTTGCAAATCAGAGGAGGCGTCGAGGATTGTAAAACCAACCTCACAGCCTTCATCAGCAGGGTTTCACTCTGTGTGTGCGCATGTGTGTAAGAACAGTGTGTCTGTGTGTGTCGAGCTGTCTCTCTCAGGCCTGTGGAATAGCTGAGTTGGATTTAAACCCACGCTCATCCCGAGCCAAGACGCAGACAAGGCTCCTCTCTCCTGTCACCTCCCTCCCTCGCTCCTCCTGCCAGATCGGCCTGCTCCGAGCTCGAGCTCATTTCTGAAACTTTCATTTTTGCTTTCCTGTCAGAGCTGAAGTCGTCCAGGAGCGACGCCCAGCTGAGGGGCGCGGGCTCTTCGGCGGCGTTACAGGCTTTGTTACTTGCTGATTTCTGCTCATGGTTCATTTCTCCTATAAGCCTGGTGTGTAAAGTGTGTGTTTTCAGTGTGTACTTCAGCTGTGCCAAGGGCTGCGTAGGCGCCACTACTAAGGTTCTCAGTTTTATGAATCTAATCCTTTCCACGTTCATGATTTGGTAGAAAGGTACGAGTTGCCTGTGTGTGTGTTTGTGTGTGTTTTTATGTGTGTTTCCATGCTTTTTCCCGGAGGCAGCAGAGTACAGCGAGCTCCTGCTGTGCTGATAGAACCAGAGCCGCCAAATAAAAAACCCAAAATAATTAACAGGCTCATTCCTGTTTCAAAGGCTCACCCCCCACCCCACTCTCTCTCTCTCTCTCTCTTTCTCTTTTTACACCACCTCCATTTTCCTCCTGACCCCAATTCCATTTTCCTCGGCTCCATCCAGCTTAGTGTAACGATGAGGGTTACGAAAATCATCTGGCAGGAGCTGCAGGGATATGTCACAAAAGTAGTGAAGACACCAACACACACACTTACACACACACACACACACACACACACACACACACACACACACACACACACACATACACACACTACTGAAGCACTGCCTGGCTCCAAGCAATGTGTTCTTCATTAAAGGGAATCAGATTCTCCGCACGCTGCTGCCTGCTCCACTTCTCCTCCTCAGAAAAAAGAAAGGAGGCGAAGAAGTGTGAAAAGGGAGCAGTGTGGAGCCAAAGTTTGGTCATGGCAAGACCACAACATTTTTATTTTCCCCCCAGAAAAAGCGTTTGAAAACAAAAACACTTCCAGACGAGCTCTGCGAAGGAATCTCCGTCCATACGACACCTCTGAAAACACATGTCCTGTTACCACACTGAAACAAAGTAAAACAGCAGGGCTAAACTTTGGGTGGATAACACTGTTGGACACATGTTTTTAGAATACAATCTTCCCTCGTGTGTAGGTTGGCTGTTGTAGCATCATAATATTTAGTGTTAAACTGCACAACAGCAGTAGCATTATGATGAATGTTTAATTTTTTCAAGGCTGCTGCGGACCTTTGAGTCATTGCAGCTTTTTCCAACAGAACCTGTAAGCTAGCCAACTGATAGTTAGCTGTCTTGTATAGAAAGAGATTTGGTTTTCTAAAGAGCACAGGAGGCTTGGTCATTGTTTTGAAAAGAAACCAGCAACAAATATCTACTTTTGTGGCGTCCATTTTGCTAAAACGCTTAGTAGAAGAGATTGAGAGAGAATGAACTTCATCCGAACAAAAACATTTATGGTAAGAGTGAAGACGCAGACTAGGGTTGTCAGGATATCAGAATTTAAAAAAAGGGAACCTGAAGGTGTCTGGGTCAACTTCTCCTAAAGTCTCAATTCATGTCTAAACACACTAAAAAAAAACACCTTGAGAGTTTCTGAATCCACACAGGGTCAGAAGCGTTTCTTAAAGTCTCCTTTTTTTGGGCCCTTTAAGGTTCGGTGTAGGTTTGGACTTTAAAGGTGACACGGTGTGGATCAAGTCTGAAGGATCCCTTCGGCTGACCTTTGTGAAGTTAGTTACAAAGATAGACATTTATGCTCTTTTACTCATACTTCCATACATGCATGATAGTGATATATATGTGTGTACTCACTATGCAGTAGGCCACCAGGGCTCCCTGCACAAACCCGGCAAGAACATCAGTCGGGTGGTGCTTGTGGTCGGACACGCGTGACAGGCCGGTGTAAAACGCCATCATTATCAGAGTGAACTGGAGCAGCGGGCGGAGGAGACGAGCACCACGCCATGTAAACCTGGACTGGAGGTAGAACTGTGGAGAAAGAAAGAGCGACACAAGGTCAACATACAGGTGTTAGATATTTCATTAATAGGAAGAGTTGATGAAACATAATCACAGATTAGCTCTTTAAGAGAAATGAGAGTATTTTCAAAACCAGGCCCTTTTAAAGTATATTATAAATGACTAAATGAACGAAAGGCTTTGGAATTAAAACTAGAAACAGCTGTTGCTTTGCTCTTCTCAAAGCCGCCTGACATTAACAAAAACAGCAGCTCTTCCTTGCAGTCTGTTGGATTTTCTCCTTTACTGCTGCAGTAATCCTTTACGTTGTTTGTGTTAATGTGCTTTCAACATTATTGTACTTGATCAGAACTTGCACTCTTACGTCACACAGTAACACAAAAACCTAAATCAAAGGGACAGCGGTTGATCAGCAAATCCTGTGTTCTGATGTATCGTGATAGTTTTATCAATGTAGTCTGGTGAGTTTGTGGAGAGTGATGTAACAGCTGTGTTTGTGGTTAAATAATCATGTTCCCATTGATGGCATTATGATTGTGGATATGACTGCTCATTTATTGCATTGACCTTTTAAACTCTCACCTGCTGTGTGTGTGTGTGTGTGTGTGTGTGTGTGTGTGTATTGATAGTCTGACAGGTCGAGACTGAATCAAAGTGTTCAGGCTGACCAGATTTGCAAAGAAACACACTCTCTCGTCCACATCACACACATACTCGGCAGCCTGAGACCTGGACATGACTGATTCCTGGTTCAACATCCCAGCTGTAACAACAGAACAACCACAGCAAGCCACACACACACACACACACACACACACACACACACACACACACACATACATTCACACATGCTTTCAAGTGTTACTCTGTCCTGATTGCTGGAGCTCTGTGTTGGGTGAACTCTTTCCCCTCAATCAGAGTCAATAGAAGACAAAGCAGATGCACCCCGCTCCTCTTACAGCCTGAAACCATCTCCAGGGTCATGATAAAAACTGACACGAGCCTAAACATGTCCAAGGTCGCCTCCAGACGCTCTTACATGTCTGTCTCTCTTTTTATCCACACTCGTACAGTGGTGAGATCAGCCCAGACATCCTGTGTTTCTGCACCGCTCGTACCCTCAGCTTCCACTCCCTTTCTCTCACCCAGAGTCAGGGAGCAAGGGAGGGCCGGCCTCAGCCAAGGTCTGCCCAGCCCTAACCTCCAGACGAGTCTCTTATAATCAGCCTGACTAACAATAACTACAGACAACCACAGTAACCCCCCCCCCCCCACTACAAGTCCCCATAGGTGTGGACGTAAAGCTCACTCGCGCTTCCTCCACGACACTGCGTCATTGTTCTTATCTAAACGGAAGCAGAGGAAGTGATCCCTCCCATCACATCCACTCCACTGCTCTCCTCCCTGGGATGTTTAGACGGCAGGTTTCCTGTGCCGTGGTTCTCAGGTAGCCCACCAGAATGACTGACAAGTCCTTCTGTCCTACATCCTGCAGCCATGGATGCAACTTCTAAAAGAACATCCCAAGGGCCTGGAGGAGGAGTTCACTTTTTCTGTGCTGCTGCTCCTCATTGGAAATCTACTTTTTAAGAAGGCACTGGGGTCACAACTGTAGCTCTTCTTCAAGTAAACAATCATACTGAGCTGGACTCACCATCGTAAACGAGAGTAAATGTCAAATCAACTTCTTCTTGCTGTGTCTGTCCCAGGCTGTAATACGGCTGTATGTCAGACAGCAACTGCCCTTATAGAGGGAAAGAAACATCTGCAGGAGCAGAGTGGCCAGAAAAGGCTCCAGCAATTCTTGTAGGAGGTGATGATACACACAACACTGGTGTCTCACATCCATTGTGTCAATCACCCACAACTTTCATCTTGAACATGAGCCACTGCCCACATGCTCCGCACACCTCAGTCTGTTCACCAAGACTTTTTCCTGCAGCTCCCTGTAAAATTGTCTTTGTGAAGTCGTGGCGAGCGAGCGTGTCGCGTGATGATGAAGTTCAGTTCGAGAGCAGTTGTTCTTCTTTATCCTCTTTACTGCTCGCCTCAGGTGTCTGGATGATGTTTCCTACTGTTGTGTTTGTGTTGTGGAAACATCCTTTCACATGTTGTAGTGATATAAAAACACAAACAGGAGACGTTACTGAACACTCCTCCTCCTGCAGCACACTCTGTCCAGGAACCTCCCTTCACCTTCGACAAACTGAATATTTCCAGTTGTGAGAGTGTGTCCGTAGCTGAAAGTCTCTCACTGTGTTTTCTGCCAAATGTGCTGTTGTTTGTGTTGCTCTAGTTCACTCTCCTACACAGCAGTCCTGCAATGTACTTTTTGACTTTTTAATCTCCTGCTGTGTGAAATGCAGTGCAGTAATGAACAGGGTCTGAATGTCCAGGGAATTGTATGCAAACGTTTTTGAGCATGTATATGTGAAAGCGGCTTTAGTGATGAATAAAAGAAAAAGATATGCGAGGCTATAAAGGGATGAAAAGATAAAAAAAAAAAAAATTAAAAAAAAGTGATGTGGACACAAGACATAAACCTCTCAATCTGAGCTGGCTTAGACGGATCAGCGAGCGTGAGCACTTCACTCAGCCAAAACAAAGAGTTAGAGTGACCTGCTAATCATCATGGCCCCATCCAGCTGAAGGGCAGCGAGTAAACCCAAATAACCCGTCCAACCCTGACTCAGCTCACATACAGTCGAGATAAGAAGCTGAGAGAAAGCAACTAAAACTTCAAAAGGCATCGTCTCTCTTTTTTTGAGTCCAACTCAGACCTAAAAAAGACTCTGACATGTGACCCTTGCTGTCCTCTCTCTCACAGAACATTCAGATCTGAGGAAAACAACCATGTAACACAACAACATAAGGAATCCCGGCAGGTTCCCCATGACAGATCGAGAGAGCGACACAGAGTCTGGTGGTTTCTGCAGGAATCCGACTCATCTCTTCAGAGCTTCTCCTCCGTCTGCTCTGATGATCTGACTCACAGTCGGCAAGAAAGAAAAGAGAACAAACGCAACAACGTGAGAAAGAATGACACCCAGGGCTCGTTTTAAACACCAGCCCGCGCTCCTTTGGTTCACACCACGATGTGAGACACACACGCTGTGAAACGGAAGCATAGCTGTGGTTAAAGCCTCTTATATCACTAACAATCACACTGGCCTTTCCTCACAAACAGATAGTAGACTGAAATAACATACAGAAAGGACTCAGCCTTTCCTGCCAGCTCAGAGACGTGTGAAAATGAGACAAAACAAATGATAGAAGATGATCAGGACACACACATATATTGTTCTCTGTTGCTGTAGTGAAGCTGTACAGTATGCAGTTAGCTGTGTCTCATCTGAGGAAGCTGAAACTCGGTCTGCACCACAGACAGACACACTTCATAGTTCTTCAACTATCATTGTCATTTAGCGAGTGACTAGGAGGAGGGGATGTGTGAGCGAGGTGACAGCCTCTGAGTGGATATGACACTTTCTCTGTTGTGAGCAACAATGGAGCAAAACAGAGCTGAGGTTCAGAAACAAGGAGCCACAGGAGCCATATTTGGTTTCTTGAGGACAAAAACAAAACCTCCCGAGGACTTGTTTGTACCACAACTGTTCTGCTGAGATGATCTAGTGCATGCTCAGATCTTGTGCAGAAATAAAAGAATGACAGGGCTGTTGGGTTATTAAAATATTTATATCATTTGTAGTTGACAAGCCAAACATAGTGTATGGTACTAAACGTCCAAACCACTCTGTTTGTGTTTTCCCTCTTTTATGAGCTTAGAGCTTTCTTTTTATTACTGGATGTTAAATGTTAGTTTTCCCCGGCAGCTCTCTGTTTGCTTCTGGTGCTCAACGGTTTTCGGTCTTGGGTGCAGCTTATTCCACCAAACCAAGAGACACTTTGCCAGTTTGGGAATATTTTGTCTTCCAAGGGAGACGCAGCTAATTAAGACAAGGCAATGTGCCAGTTCTCTACCTGAGAGGTGAAGAGAAAGTAGGTAAATACATATAGGTCTCAACTAACTAACAACTGCCCTAATACCAGAGTTTTGATGCAAATCTAGTCAAAATCAAACAATATCGATACCACAGCAAGGGTTTAAAATACACCCAATGTCAGGTAATTTCTTATTTTCAGTTAACAAGAATTGCAGGCAAACTCCTGCACACTGTTGAACTCTCATCTCAGCAGCTTTTGGTTAATATGACCTGAAGATTTTTTAAATGCTTGTGATACTTTCGATCACTGAAATAACTGAGATAGTATCTTATAAAACAGGTGGTGTTCAAAAGTGTTTTTGACAACTTTACTGCCAATGAACTTCTCACCCAGTTTGCACCAAACCTCATTGCAAATCAATTCCTTACAGCCACTGTTACAATAAAGTTCATTCATTTGTCACAAAAATCATAACCCTGCACTTAAAACAAACACACAAACAACAAGGTGCTGGCTGGGCACACTGCACTATTACATTACCTTAAAGCACACAGGAGAAATTCCTTCCCTGTGACTTCTCTAATAGGTTACTCATTGACCTCTTCACTGTCAGTCAATAACAATATTGAGGAGTGATCCATCATTTAAAGGAATTCATTTGACACCTCAGGAAACACATTCACTCAAAATGAAATTAGTGCCAGAAGATCAATAACTCTTCCACTCCTGATACAAATATTGATCAGCTGCAGGCCTTTTTATCTTTACATGCTTTGCTATTATCCAAACTCATGTTGCATTGATTTGACTTCAGACTGTGTTCCTTGATAACATCTCTCGTGCACGAATCGACTGGAGACTTATTTAAGGACACTTCAGGATAGAGGGCGGCTTCTGTGAGTGAAAACATGGAGTTACACGAGTGTTGTACAGCTGGCAAAAACAATTTTTTTTGTTTGTTTTTGCTGTTTTTCCCACAAGGAATGCCGTCAGTGGGTTTTTTTGTTTCAGGCTGGTTTTGTGTTCCAAAACATCCACTACGGACTCTTCCTCTTCTTCTTCCTCTCTTTCTGTTTTTGCCTCCTCTGGCTCGAGTCCTGAACTCACCACAGAAGGATCAATGCTCTGGGACCAGTGTGTCACTGTGTGGTCTGGACGCAGCACATCTTTCCCTCTTTATTCGCTCTTCTCTCTCCTCCTCGGACGGAGCAGAAGGTTCACAGAGAGGCTGGGAAATACCCGCAAGAAGCTCTCACTGCACCACACCAGAACTTCACTGAGTGACCGAGCCAGACCCGAACACTGACTCACCTCCCCCAGCCTCAGAGAGAAGGAGAGGGAAGAGATGACTGGAAAGCTTTGGATTGGTACAAATGAAGACTGTTTGAAGCATGCAACGCCTCCAGGGTGGCTATGCCTCACAATCGTCACCCCACAACAGGTGGAGAGAGAGGATGAGGGAAACAGGAGAGGACAGGAAGTGAATTCACATGGATGATTGAAGAAACCAGGTGGAGTGCATCCATTCATCCCTCAGAGGACAAAACGAAAGAATGAAACTCCTCATGGAGTGTGTGAGGAGGAGGAGGCAGAGGAAGAGGAGAACAATGGTTTGATTTTCTTCAGGCAGTGAGTGAATCAACAACAGCCCAAGATTTTCCTTAATGATCTAAATACTGGCGTTTCTGTGTCTTGGACCCTGTGTGTGTGTGTGTGTGTGTGTGTGTGTGTGTGTGTGTGTGTGTGTGTGTGTGTGTGTGTGTGTTTAACTCACAGCCAGGTACAGCATGGTGAACATCGAAAAAGAGGCGTGTCCTGAGAAGAAGGATTTCCTGTGAAGATGAAGACGATTGTTAATATTCACATGACATATTCAGGTGTGTTGAAATGTTTGATACTTCGATTATCTTTGATACCATATGTTTGAAAACGATAAAATCTCTATTATCTTGATGATCAATAGTATTAAAAACGTCCATCCATCAAAAATCATAGGTAAACTCCTGCACACTGTCTAATTCACACAAAAACGTTTTTTTTTTTTTTTTTACAGTGTTTTCGTGTAATTTCGACAGTATATACTAAAATTTTGACTTTTGTTGCTGTGGTAATAAACACGTATCGATATCTTTTGATTTGTTATAGTATCCTATTGAGGTGTATAGTTCTGGTATCTTGACCATCCTACATGATCTAAACAGTGTGTTGTGTTGTTGTTGACACACACCTGGCCTCCTGCACATCGCTCTCATCCCCTCTGCAGGTGTAGTTGGTGATGTATCCCTGGGAGCAGTCAATGGTGGAGAAATCTGGTTTACACACGTCTAAGAAGTGAGGTCTCATGCGACCAACGGACACCTTGGCGATGTCAGTGAACGACTGGCTGACCCCACAACCGAACAGAAACACGCCCATCTGGAAGATCACAACCAATCATGATGAGACGTGAGAGAGTCAAAATTAGCAGTTCAAAGTTTCTTGTCAAAAGTTCTACAGACTTCGCTTAAAAAAAAAAAAATCTTTTGTTTTGGCTGCAGAGGAAATTATCATTACAATGATGCTGTATCAGGTACAGTGTTTCCCCTAGGTTTAAAGCATTGGGGGGGTGGGGACAAGCCGACACGGCGACACAAACACTTGAAGGAATCTTGGTGTTCATGTGTTACTTTTAATGACAGCTGTCCTTTTCTATCGGAAAGGTATCCTTAAATGACTTCTTTCCCTGATTTCCGACTCTATCCACTATCCTATCCATACAATAAAGGCACAAAAAGCCCAAAAATAGTAATAATAATAATAAAACATTTTTTACTTGACCTTCAGGGGGGGTGGGCCGCCCCCCTAATATAATGGTAGGGGAAACACTGAGGTCTTATTATGCATCCATTGGTTTAATGTATGATACTTGTTCATGCAATCTTCTTAATATTAATGACCAGGACAGTTAAGGGGAGCTGACCTGTTTGTAGAGCGCTGCGACGTAGGGATTCCCGATGAAAGACTTTGTTCCTTCATGCAGCTGATTAATCCTGAAGCATTCTCCAATTACAATCTAAGAGACAGGGGACTTTTTAAGATACAAGGACATCACAGAATTCATAAAATAAATGTAAAATAATAAGGATATTATTTAACTTTGCAATGCTGCAGAATACTTAAGTACTTTTACATACAATAAAAATGATCAAGTTTGATTGTTTATCTTGCAGGAAATCTAGTTCAAGTCTCTAATGAAGTCACAGATGGAGGAAAGAGGATGAGGGAGACGCACACACACACACAGAGACACACACAGAGAATGAGCATGGCCTGCCCTTCCCTCAGGCAGTTTGGATGTGAGGTGAGATTATTAGTGATGCTCCATGATACGGTGGGGCCTTTTATGTGGGATATGAAGGATAAAGAGAAAGTGAAGACATGGCGGAAAAGAAAACATGAAATCTGTAACATCTGACCTGAGCCCGGATATAACGAGGATTTGAATCAGAGCAGCGGTCTGATTTAAAGCTTAAGTTCAATGTGCCAACCCTGAATCCTGTTTTACTCCGACCAGGTGCTTTTAAGTGGAGTTGAGGCCCATGGAAAGGCCTCTGCTACACCGAGGGGGCTCTAACTGATCCAGCTCCCGGGGCACGGACACGTCAGTCATTTCTGCACCACCAGAGCGGCTGCCCTCCACCTCTAACCACAGCTCCCTTTCCTTTCCTTCCTCTCTCTGCACAAAGCTTCACTCTTCAGTCTCACACTAAATATTTACCGTCCATCTCTGAGCCGCAGAAAACTCACTGCAGTGTAAGCGTCTCAGACATCTTATTTAGTTAATAAAGATTGAAAACGTGTGTGTATCAATTCTTCTGTCAATGTTTGTAATGTTGTGGCTCATTAAACACACCTCCCCTGCCTGTTGGGTGGTCCCCTGGCAGGAAAACCGCCAGGAGAAACAAACATGGGGGCGTATTTGTGTGCGTTTCTTTGCTATTGTCAATGAATTGTTCTGATTTAGGCTTAAGATAAGAACCACAGGAGGTCGATAAAGGCCAGACAAGTTTATTTGGTTTGTCAGCATTTGCATTCAAACCCCTCTTCTGCTCCTGTCTTGGTTTAATTCCACCTAATTTCCATTTAATACTGAATTCACAACGGGATCACAATAACAAATTTAAACATTGATGTAATTCTAAGAATCAAACGATTCTCCACACCACCGCAACAAAAACAAAAGTCTTGGGCACCTAATAGTGTGTAAATTGTATCTTCATTTTGCACACACCTGCACACTGTTTAAATTGCACAAGTACGTTGCGAACTTATTTGTACAATTTAGACAGTGCTCTCTCTCTCTTTTGCTCGCGGCAGCTTTCGGTGACTGATGATCTGTAGTTTTTTTTTTTTTTTTTTTAAAGCTTTGGTAATTTGGAACACAGACATCGGAAGAACAACTTAGTAACTGGGGCGTTTGGAGGGGCACATGAATGCTGGGAGATGTAGGCCAGGTCTGTCACGCAGGCATGTCTGATCAGCCTGATCGGCCACTATAAATGCCTGATGGTTCATCAATGAACCTGCCTATAGATCTATCCCACTGTGTGGTCATGTTTTTCCTCACAGTGGAAACTGGAACCTGTCAGACACAGATATGATGTCTGAGCAGTGCGACTTGTTGGGGTTTCCCATGCAGAGAAGATAAACAAGGGGCCCAACTGGAATCTGCTACCAGTGCATGAATATGAATACAAACTATACGTGTGTGTGAGTGAGTGTGTGCATGCGTTACAGGAACGGTGTCGGCATGGCAGTAGACGCCACTAATGGAACACAGCTGTGTGAGACACGCCAGCTCTGCCCACACGTGAACATGTGATGGCGCTAACCAACACACACACACACACACACACATGTCTGCTGCTTCCAATCAGCAGGAGAGCCGAGCTGGTACAGTGTGTGTCGCTGATGGCGAGGAGCCTGTGGTGCCAAAAAGAGTCTGGGGGCTTTAAAGACCATCTCATGGGACGTTTTGGCACTAATTGACAGACATAGACCCCACCGCATCATTATTACATGTTTCCACTACCTCTGACCCCCTCCACCCCCCACTCTGATTTTCTGACACTAGAAAGCAGCCATCACCTCCATCGGGCTCGAGTCAGGTCAAAGGAATGAAGACTTTGTGTCACACCCCTCGATATGCAGTAATGTGCAGGGCACAGAGTCACCGAGTAGGGGTACGAGTGGGAGGTTTGATAGTGGACTGGGAGCTTGTAAAATCTCTTTGGTCTTTGGCATGCATGCGTCAGCTCACACACTTCCATAACGTCTCTTGGGGGGCCTCTTTCTACCTCTGACTGGCTTAGCGATGTAATAAAAACAGACCATTAGAAACGGCTCAAAGCTGAAGTGGAAGATTGAGATGACGTAGAAAACATTACAGAATGAAATGGCAGGACATAAAGAGCACATTTACGTCAAAAAAAGAGTGGTGTTTTGGAAAATACTTTCAAAAAAGGGGCTATGTTAGTGAGATTTTTTCTAAGAAGTGACTCTTAAAGCAGCAAACAAAGGGAGGTCGACTTACAGAGAAGATGGCAATAAGAATGCCAACGCCACAAAGCACCGCATCGCTAATGGTGTCTCCCTCTTTTCGGGGGTAGCGGATGGATTCGTCCGAACAGTAAAACCCGCGGTGGTACGGCTTTATGGTGCTAGTCTCAATGATCAGGAAAGGCAGGCTAGCTACAGGAGACACAGGGAATGAGAGGAGCAGAGAGAGAGAGAGAGAGAGAGAGAGAGAGAGAGAGAGAGAGAGAGAGAGAGAGAGAGACAGGGAGGAGAGGTCAGTGACACAGACATAAACAGGGGGGAACAGGGGGAGCACAAGGAGCACACAAGCACCAGGGGATCATGGGATACGGCAGAAAAGTTTGGGCATAAGGATTATATTGTTGGTCAGCTCTCAGCAGAGAAGTGACAGAAAAAAAGAATTACCCCCTCAATATGAATTAAATGTTGATTTCACATGTTGTGGACTGAAAAAAACTACATCTTTACATTTAGAGGCCAAATTATGTTTTTAAAAAAAAAGATATGGCCCATACCTCAAAATACTAAAATTACCAAAAATGCCATTATCTTTCTGCACTTGATAAGATCTGGCGTCATCACTCCTTCAGAGCCATCAACATGATCCTGCAGCCCTCCCTGTTTCTGCCTTCAGTGATCCCCGACACTGAGCGCTCTTTGTGAGCTGGGGACTTACGGAGACCGCGGGCAGTAACAACCCAACAGAAGTGAGCACTGAGGAGGGGACGGTGCTCTTCTTGTAGGGATAGTTGAGGCTGGAGTCACTGCAGTAGAGACCCCTCTGGTACGGACGCACAGAGGAGCGGTGCAGCACCAGGCTGGGCAGCATCGCTACACACACACATACACACATGTACACATGAATGCATGTTTGAACTCACCCACACACACCCACACATGATGCTGCATCATACAGCTTACTGCACTTACCTGTGAGCTGTTGGACAAAAAGAAATCTCATTAAAAGACAATCAGAGACTGACAGGTGTCTGTGAGCTCATTCTAACACTGATCCGGTTGTTGACTCTGCACGCACACACACACACACACACACACACACACACACACACACACACACACCTGTTGACTCTCTGACACCGGCCTATTGAGAGTGAGGTTTGCTCTTTAGCATTAGCAGACCCTCCATCCTCACAGAGTAAATACACACTGACACTGAGGGCGTGGACTCTGTTACTGAAGACAAAAGAAACTCCCGAACACTAATACTGTGTCAACACACTGTGAGAAAACGTGTGTGTTGGATTTCAGGGGAAGACAGTGCCATTCTAGATCCAGTGTTAAAACTTTTTTTTTTTTAAACAGAAACCATTCAATATTTGACTAGATTTGTGTCTGCACAAGTGAAACATGACATGATACTGCTACCCTTTTTGTGTAGGCGAAATGTGAAGCTGTTTTCGGCGAGCAGTTATGACATGATATCAAAGAGACTTTCAACAGAGACAAGCTGCTACTCTGATGTCAAGTCAAGAGGCCTGTGCTACGAAGCGAGTTCAACATACCCAGGGTATCTTTTGGTTATCTGTCTTCACTAACCGTGACAGAAGAAATCGCGCTAAACGGTCACTTTCTATTTTGTTACAGTCGCTAAAAGTTTGTTTGGTGAAATTAAATGTGTAAGTGGCTTCTTCACCAACACACAAACACAATTACACACACCCACATTGTGCTCTAATGATTCCCAAGAGGAGAGAATAAACAAACATCTCAGGAGTTTAGTACTACTACTGGGACAGTCAAAGTTTTCCTTTAGGGATTTAAAAACATGTGAATACCAAGAAAACCCAACACAGCCCACCCACTCTGGAACATTTTTCACATGAGACCATGTGTGGTGCGTGTGTGTGTGTGTGTATGATTGTAGTGGATCATGAATATGGAGAGCTGAAGACTTGAAGGCGTCCTGAAGACCCAAACACAGACACACCAACACATACATCCAACATCAGTCTGCACGGAGACTTTTTTTCCCACTGTGGTTCATGAGGTTCGCTCACATCACAGAGAGTTCTGACATGTGGGTCAGAGTCAGAGTTTTACACCAAGCGTTCCCAGAAGCCCGGCCGTTGTTTCAACAGTGATGGAGAGGAGATCGTGTTTCTGCTCATGTCGTGAAAAACAGCATTCACCAGAAACCGCTCGTGCTCGTGAGCTTCTCAAAAACCTCAAAACACACTCTCTTATGCATTCTTGTGGACACACACTGAATGCTCTCACACACACTTCGTAACATCTACACTGTGACATCTGCACGCACCAAAGAACAGAGTGTTGTCTCAGCTCGAACAGATCAACTACTCTGTGTCCACACTAATACGGTTCAACATGACAATCACCCATTTTTTCTGAGCTTCTTTTTGTACAAATACATGTGGTTGTGGTTACTTTTGGCTTTGATTTTAAAGCTATAGCCAATAAAAACTTCTATGACAACTTTGTTGTGTGTTTGCACGACTGCAGTGCCAGGGCCGACACAACCTCCTCTGCATCGGTGTACTAAGGAAGCTGGAGAGGGTGCAGGGAGTTTGCTGTGCTCAAACTGTCTGCTGATAAAAAAATATTTAGGATGAAACATTACCTTTTGAAAAATCGATTTTGGGATGTTTTGAACTGGTTCAGAAGTGTAAAAATTACTACATTTGATTCCGTGCTAAACCCTTCCTGCTGTTTAAGTTCAGGTGATCGGATCACAAATGTCACAACAGCTGCTAAATGGGCCTTGAGCCGGGAATGTTTTGACAACAGAGGATTACAAGGTTGAACAATCAACATGTCATTTTCTTCTTTCTGAAGATGAAGAAGTCTATATTTCAAAAGCAGCTATATATATGTATGAAATATTCTAAAAGAAGCATTTTTTGGTTGCTGTTCCGATGTCGTGAAAGCAGACTGTCTCTCTGCAGAGGTTGGCAGGTAGAGGACAGCAGGTGGGACGCTCATTGATGCAGACACACACAGGGAGCAGCAGGAGCATCAGCGCTCAACAGACAACAGGCTGCTGGTTTGTATTTAGTGTCTGAGAGCCAAACATTATCACACAACAGGCAGGAGAATGAGCGTCACTCTACACTATCCACACTGACCAAAGGGGGCAGGACAGGACAAAAGGGTATATGAGTTTCTTTTCCAGCGTGATTTGTAGTTCGATGTTGCCGTTTATTGCCTGAAATGCAGTAAGAAGTCAGATGTTTAGAAGAGTTCTGCTGCGTAAACACTCAGACATAAGATCTAGCTCTCTCACGTCAATCGCTGCTCTGTTTGTCCATTTGTCACTCCACTCTGCCCTACTTGTGGAAGAGGGATTCACATGTTAATGAGGGGAAGTGAAAGGAGACGAGTTCATTGGCTTAACTGACACACACACACACTCATGCAAACGGGCGCTTAACGGCTAAACCAATCTCGGAGCACCATGGGAAACTCAGGAGCGGACCATCTGAGGGACTTGAAGGAGGAATTTGAGAGCATTTGAGCACCTCAGCAGGGTGTATTGAGGATTTCTGAAAGCCTCTCTATCAGGTCCCCTTGTGCCAAGCTAATCTCTGGTGCTATTTCCCAGAACGCAGCCTGGAATTTGGACATCCTCCTGCAGACAATCATATGAAGAAATATGACCTCCTTAAGGGCGGTGGGATAAAGAGTGTGTGACCTTTGCAGGGCCAGTTGACCCAGACAAAGAGAGGGGGGGAGTGTCACAGGAAAGGGGGGTTAAAACAGGGAGGGGAGGAGAAGAAAGAGAAAGAGGCTGACAGAGCTCTGAGGTGCGTCAGTGAATTAAAAAACAACTTTTTACAACCACTGTCATGAGGTCAGTGAAGCTTTAGATTCAGGCGACGACCACTCGGATGTGTTTTCATTTCAAACCACAGAACTGTTGCTCTCTTTATGTTTAGCTCCCCCAATACTTTAAGTGTTTTACACAAGCTAAAACATAGACTTTTGACTCTGAATAATAAAAAAAGTTACTTTTAAAGGTGCAGTCAGTAACTTGCAAATAAAACATTCAAACTCATCGCCCCAAGAAATCTGCACACTCACTGCAGAGTTAGTGTGTAGCCTACGTTTACTGCTTGTACTGCCAGCTATACCGCCCACTAGCACAAGCTAACATCAATGTTTGGCACCTGCCTGTCCAACAGATAGGAGGCCAACTTTGCATCCGCAGGTTAAACTCAACTGAAGGTCCTTGACATTAAGCCTTTACCTCAACTTCTTTTACAAAGAAACTATGTTGCTGACACTGCTGTCCATGCTAGCTGCTGTTGTGTGGGAAGTAAAATTTGCATTTCATGAAGCTGCTTCTGTCTACATGTGCAGGAGGTACAATTTGCATTTTACAAAGCTGCTACATGTGCAGGCGGGCATATAATTATCAAAATATTTGACTGTTTTATTCTTGTTTGCATATTAATTCAATTCACTGATCAGATAAACTAGTTTCATCGTCCCGCAAGAAAATCAACCAGTTTCAGTCCAATTTTCTGGATGGTAACATCAAGGCAGTTGTGACACTGTTTAATATAAATGTACTTGTTACATATTTATCCCCTTATATTTATAACTTTTGGCTTCATTCACACATCTTTTCTGAAGCCTTTTCCCCACATGCACTCCTGAGGACTACCCCTGAAATGCTCCACATATGGATGTTCACTGGTGGATCAGGTTGGCGCTAACAGGCTAAGCAGTTTGGATGTATTTCATTAGAAAAACTTCTACAACTACTTGCAATTTCTGCAAAGCTCATCTTTTGAGCGGTTGGGGAATGACAAGTTTAAACAAACAAAGAAGGTAGACAAAACAAAACGGAGCACTAAACTTTGTCGGCAGCATTGCAAAGACTGGAGAAACTTCCCAGGGAAAGCAACAAAACACTTGGAACCACAGTACAGTTTTCCATCAAGTAAATAATTTTCCAAGGGTGCTCTGCTTGGCTTATACAAGATTGTGAAGTCACAGTCAATGGGTATATATAATACGTATATATTCCACTATACTTGTATCATATGACTTTGTTCTGGCCAATATTGGTAAAGGAATCAATATCAGAAAGGAAATTTAAAGTTTAAATGCCATTAAAACATAGTTGTGCATGTAGCCTGAAATCCTCACCACATAAGGAGAAGTAACTTCTAACAGTCTGACTTCCCCTTGACCATTTAATCACAGGAAATTAAACACAAAATCTTGCACCGGTTTCCACACTTTTCTTTTATGTTTTTGCCATGCAGGTGAAATCGTGCATTTTATGCTTTTAAAGCAAATGAGCCTTGTGAGCTGTGGAGCCACTGATCTGCTTTTTAACAACAAATACAGACGTCTGAGGATAACTAGAGGCCTACAAACCCTAAAAAGACTTAGAAAGAGAAAAGGATGGAGAGAAAGAGAGAAAGAATGTGTGGAAAATGCAAGAAGAAAAAAAACACATATCCTAAGTGGGTGGCTTGACGAGTTAAGGGAACAGTTCTATTTGTCTTATCTGATCCCTTCATGCATTTCTCTCTTTAAGCACACGAGGAGAACCACTGTAACCCACTAAACACAGGTCAGGGAGAGAGAGAGAGAGAGAGAGAGAGAGAGAGAGAGGGAGAGGTATTTCTTTGGCTGGTTGAATCTTTGTTTATATGCAGAGGTCATGGCAGGGCCTGTGTGTGTGTGTGTGTGTGTGTGTGTGTGTGTGTGTGTGTGTGTGTGTGTGTGCGTGCGTGCGTGCGTGCGTGCGTGCGTGTGTGTGTGTGCGCGTGTGTGTGTGCGTGTGTGTGTGTGTGTGTGCGTGTGTGTGTGTGTGTGTGCGTGTGCGTGTGTGTGTG